AGAGAGAGAGAGAGAGAGAGAGAGAGAGAGAGAGAGAGAGAGAGAGATGGGAACATCAGAGAGCAGAGAGAGAAGGGATGAGGAAAGCATTCTCACCTGATCTTCAATGAGGTTCAGTGAAGGATGAAGGATGTGGACTGTGCAGTGTGGGGTGGTGGGGACTTTTATACAGTGCTTGGTATGGCTTCCTGAAGGCCTGAAGGGCCACGTGGGCTAAAGTCCTAATTGTGGAGTCACTGTAACAAGCTTCACCTGAAATCATGAATGGTTTGAGTCACTGCTTGTGATGCCTGTTAATCAGCCTTCATTTTGGCCTCTGGGTTCTCACCAGACCTCAGCAGGGAGGAGCTCCTCTCAGAACTCTTTCATTAGAGGCAGCAGGAAAAGAATGTCCATAAAATGTTATCTGTCTGTTAAACCAGGGCCGAGGTCCCTTGTCTACTCACACTGGTTCAGGATGTGGTGAGAGATAAGATCAACCTTGCTTATCTAGTCTTTGCCAGTAAGAAGAATCTATGCCTAAGGCCTGGGGTCTGTATGAGTTAAGGACTTGTATGGTTTATTTCAAACATTTCCACTGCATATATCCCTCTATGAAGCAGAGAACCCTTCCATCCATTTTGTCCAGGCTCGCTCAGTGGCTCTACACATTGAGGCAGCTTGTCTTGGTGGTAGGCATGGAAGTCAGACCCAAGGATGATGGCTTGTCATGGGATTCTAAGCTGATGATCTACAGTGTCCTAGGCAGAATTGAACTTTTCCCTGTATAAAAGTCCTGAGGGAAATTAGAGTAATTTCTTGCTCTTGAGACATGCAATATGGTGAAGGGGAAAAGAGAAAGCCCATTCTCATTTTCTCAATTTTGAGTTCTAGTGCCCTTTGAAAAGTAGAGTTTTCTGAGTGACCAGGAAACAAGTTAGTACAAGGTGAGCCTGTCCCTTGCCTCCTGAAACACTTGTCAGATTTTCATCAATGAAAACTGGGTGCTGGGAGAGAAAAAGTTTCCAAACAATGTACATGTTTTTCTATGTCTTGTTACTTTTGCCCGATGAGCTCTTCTTCTCTGAACTCAGCAGTCTTCAAGCTCCACTCAAGTCTATCACCTTTCAGGAGTCTTCACTGGTCACTGTAAACTAGGAATGAATTCACTTTTTATGAAATACCATAATATTTGTATTATACTTTATGTGACATTTAGTATTGCGGTTGCAAAAAAAAAGTTTTTTAAAATTGCCTCGCTTTATTCAGGTTGTAAAGGCTGCTGTAGATTTCCATGTGCCAACCCCGTCTGTACAGTCCCCTGGGCAGACTCAGATAGCCCTCCCTCTGCTCTCACTTCTTGTCTTCCTCTTTCTTGTCTTTCTTGCCATCCTTGGTGGCCTGGGAGGCCAGAGAGCCCATTGAATTTCGAATGGCTTCATTGTTGGGATCCACGCCTGGCAGGTTCTCTAGGATGCTCTGAAGGAACCCTGGGTCCTGCATCACGTCATAGTCATCCTCCTCCTTGACTGGATCAGATGTGTCCGTTGCTGAGCTGGCATCGATGACAGCTGACTCTGCTTGGCCAAACTCTGCTCCCTACAGGCACATCTGCATGGCATAGGCAATCAGCTCTTCCTCAGTCATGTTGCTTAGGTCAGGAAGCCCAGCACTGCCAAAGTCCTGCTGGCTAATGGCCATCTTCTGCAGGGCATCATCTGAGTCTCTTTCACCTTCAGTCCCAGATGTAGCAATTCCAGCCTCAGCTGCAGAGGCCTCAGCAGCCTGCCGTGCCTCCTCCTCCTGCCACTGCCACTGCTCTTCCAAAGAAACACGAAGGGCTAGGGCCGAGTCAGGATCAGCACTGGTGTTTACTCCAAACTCAAAGTCACTGGCACTGAGACCCAGCATGGCACCACCTTCACCAGCCAGAATAGGAGAACTGATGAGAGCATCGGCCAAGCTGGGCCCAGGAGGCACTGTCACTAGATGTGACCTGGTTCCGTCCTTGCCGTTCAGTGTGTTCACAAAGGCTGTCAGCTTCTCTGTGTTCACTTCGTCTTCCCCAAAATTGATGATGTCAACATTTATTTTTTCTTTCTTGAGGATTTTAGCTAGTTTCACCAGATCCTTCCCATTGTCTCCCACAGGGCTCCCTGGGAAGGCAGTGATGTGCATCTTGTGATTCTTGTTCTACTGGTGCTTCAGATCCAGATGGGCCATGTAGATGCCAGTGCAGAAGGTGACCTTGCCCTTGGGTTGGACGGTGTGCAGCTTGGAGAAGATGCGGCCAGTGTCAGGGGTGAGTGTGGTCAGCACCTCACAGACATTGGCCGGTGTGATGAGGTCCACATTATTCTCAGGGTTGCTTTGGGTCTTTGAGTGACATACGATGTTGACAGCATCCTGCTGGGCCTGCAGCTGGGTGGGAAGGAAGTCTCCATTCCGCATGTACTCACTGTTGTCCACACACATCTTGCCACCTTCCCTCTACCTACCGGCTCCGGGACTCGCTGTTACAAAATCTTATGTAAGATCATATTATTCTCAGTTGTAAGTTCTAACCTCTGACTGGAAGACGAGAGAAGATAAGTGATTATTGATAGGGTACATGTATCAGTGAAGGAATACAAGATAGATGTGTACTCAAAAGCTTCAGTCCCACCATAGAATTTTTTCTTTCTCTTCTGTTTAAATAACTCATTTGAAAATTAATGTACAATACGCGAGAGAGTGAATATAAGATTGTTAAAGTGGTATACAAAATAGCAGTTAAATAGCATTAAAAATATTAGTAGAAAGCACAATCCAAGGGAGAATCAGAACAGGCCTCTTGAAGATGATGCCGCAGAGAGAGAGGGGCAAGCTTACCTGACTTCCAACAAAGTTCAATACAGAATGTGGGCCATGGATCCCAGTTAGGTGAAGACTGTTAATAGAAAATAGAAGATACCAATTTATTCAATTAAATATTAATACTTAGGGGAAATAGCATTTCACAAGAGGATTTCTGGAGCCTCTAATGTGGCAAGCTTATTTTACTGGCTAGTGTTGCCTAAATTTTAATAGCTTTAAAGATGATAATGCTCTGTGGCTGGAGAGATGGGTCAGTGGTTAGTGCACTGGCTGCTCTTGCAGAGGACTGAGGTTCTCTTCCAGAATCCAAGTAGCAGCTCACAACTGTCCATTACTCCAGTTCTAGGGAATCCCCTGCCCTCTTCTAGCCTCCCCAGACACTAGACACATGTAGCACATACATACCTTCAGACAAAGCACATACCCATAAAATAAAAATAAAATTTTAAAAACAACAATGCTCCTCTTAATTAGGGGTTAAGGTCACAAATAATTAGATGTAGTTCATTCCCTGAGAAGTAATCAGCAGAAATAGGGAATGTCTCTAAATGTTAATATAGGTTTGGGACACGTGATATATTAAAGGCTTTTCTTTTTATTGTGTATGTGGTGTGGTGCGTGCTTGTGAGTATGCTGGTGTGTGCACCTTTCTAGAAGCCAGAAGAAAATGCAGGGTGAGACAAGGCCTCTGGCTGTGCTGGAGGTTTCCCATTTCAGGTAGGCTGGCCGAGCTCCCAGGATCCACTTGTCTCAGCTTCCTAGTGCTGGAGATTCATAGCCATGCTTTGCTTTTTATGTGAGTGTTGAAAACTCAAACTTAGGTTTCCTTGCTTGCATGGCAAGGATGTTCACACACTGAGCCAGCTCCCAAGTGCCATCAAACATTTTGAACAAGTGAGGTTGGAGGGAATACAGGTGGAATATTTATTTGGTTTTATGACTGCTGTTTAAAGGGTTGATGTAACTCTGGCACAGCCTGGCATCGTGGGAGGAGGCAAGGAAGATGTGGGGGATTTGGAATACTAAGTAATGTAACAGAAAAGATAAGCTAATCTGAGGAAATGTGGGAATTGGGTGATTAGCTGTAGAATGGGGAGGTTCTACTCATTCCCATTCCATTCTCCTTCATTTTAATCTCTTTCTATTTCTTTTCTTCTCTCCTTTATCTCTTTTGTCTTTTCTGTGAAAACTCTACTGTATTGTAGGAAATAAGGGATTAGCTACTGCTGTGTTTATTATTTATTCTTTCAGCTATCCATGATTCTGCTCTTTAAGGACTCACACTAATGGAGATGGACAGAGGTTAGCAGTTGTATCTTTTGTTGATATAAGGAGGCAGAGGGTAGAAGAGGGGCATTTTCAGGTAGTTTGAGGACAGAGTCCTAGTTAGAAGACTTGAAGCACAGAGAGCTAGTTGGGGTGAGAGGAGAATCTGAGGCTAGCTTAGGTTAGGCATAGGTGAGAGATAAGGGAGAACATCTGCTTGAGATTTCTGGAAGCTTCTTCAGACATGATGGATGAGATGGCCTTGTTCATGCCACAGGCATTTCTTTGCTTTCTGATAAGCTTAAGAGAGCTAAACACCGACTCTTGCTAAAATGCTCAATCCCTATCCAGAAAGATAAAAAGGATGGACTTCAGAAGAGGGAGAAAACAGGGAACAAGTCAGGAGCCTGACACAGAGGGCCTCTGAAAGGCTCTGCCCTGCAGACTATCAAAG